ATTTGTGTGGATTAACACAAATTTGCCCCCGTGTGATAACGTTCATTGTAGCATTATGGCTGAATACAAATAGACATAGAAAAATACAAAAACAAACTCACCAGGAAGTGTAAGCCATACAGATCTCACAAAACAACTGCCAGCATGGCTCCCAGTATAAAAAGCATAACCGTTCCCTACATGCAAACCACCACAACATTATTTGTAGTCTGCTGATTGACAGCATTGCAGACACCTGGCCTAATTGGCCAATTATCATGCAGGCTCATAAACACAGGTTCACCCGCCATTTACCACACCATTATTCAGTCACAATAGTGTAATGCAATCCTGCATGCCCTGACATGATTTGCTCAAGGTCACCTAGTGGGTTTCATAGCCAAGTGGGGAATGTAACCCTGTTCTCCAGCACTCAAACCACTATACCACACTCCCTTATTTTAGATAAAATAGATTGTAGCATTAGGTTTGCAGGATTTGGTTTGGTTTTTCTCCCACAACAAGCATCAACTTTTATGTATGGAACCCACCAATGACTTCCGGAGGCAATGGTTTCTAATTAATGTGTGTGAACTAGCCAGGGTACTTCCATGAATAAGACACTTTCATGTAGGTCTGAATGGTATAAATTAGCAAGCTAACAATCCAGTAAATCTTCGTTATCCAAAGTATTATTTGCCACGTTATTAGCAGAATTTAGATGCGGGTGCTTCGTTCTTTTTTGCACAGCCTTTACTGTCTGCAAGGAATTGGAAGGGAGCTCAAGTGTAGCTGTCAGGCATCTCAGAACTGTTTTCATTTTTATGCTACTGAAGAAATTCAGGCCAATTCTGCATTTTGTGCAAAACCTTGGAAGGGGTGAAAAGAAATGTTTGCTTGTGTTTTCTCTGCTGTCGTTTTTCCTTCTCATGAGTTACCAAGTAGATAAGCCCTCTCTCCTGGTATTAATGGAGAGATTTCAGAGCTCTCTGAGACTGTGGTTGGTTATGGGGAGGAACTGTCTACTGTCACTTTACAACAAAGTGCCCAGCAGTGATAGCCTGTTCATATGGAATCCAACAGGAATGGGAGGTACACTACCTTTAGGAGACAAGAGTGCTGCTAGTGGAGGTGTGACTCCTCCTTATATCCTTCCTAGATCTAGATGCTTCTAGATCCTCATGATAAGCAATAGGAACCCACAGTCAAGATTCTTTGATTGATATTGCAGACTTCATATGGCAAGGAAAGAGAGCAGGAATTAAAAATAAAGCAATGCAAGACTGCAAAGAAAAAGGGGGACTAGTAGGTTGACCAACTTAGAACTTTACTTCAAGGCCTATGCATTGGGGTGGATTAAGGATTGGCTTCTTTTAGAAAATAAAGGCTCCTTGAATTGGAAAGCTATAATTTAACCAAGGGATGGCATGCATATTTGTTCTATGAAGGGTTCAAAGAAAAAAAAGAATTCAATGAACACTTTATCCGAAAACCACTTATTAAGGTCTGGAATTCATATAAGAGACACTTTTATAATAAACTACCAAGATGGTTTTCAACACAGGAGGCTCTTCACAAAAAACAAAATCTGAGAAGAGATTGTTGGCTTAGATATGAAAATCTCTTAACTAAAACTAAAACTGGACTGGAAATTAAACCAAGAGAGGAACTGCAAAGGGAAGGAGTAGAAACCCATTGGTTCACTTATAGACAAATTATTGAGGACTTCAAAAAAGATATGGATAAATATGGCATAGAAGACGAACCCAAAGTATTGGATAAGATACTAAAGGAAGGAAAAAACATATGGTCTCTAAGTTATATAAAGTTTGTTAGAGATAGAAATGAAAGATGAAACTATAAAGAATAATATGATAAAGTAGATGCAAAACATTAGAAGAACAATCCCTTTAGCACAATGGGAGAAATCTTGGTGGGATACTCATAAGTTCTTGAAATGTAACAACCTAAAAGAAAATTATTAAAAAATTTTTAGGTGGTATATAACACCTTTTAAATTAGCAAGATTTAAGAAAACAAATGAGAACTTTTGTTGGAAGTGCCAAAAAAAAAAAAAAAAAAGATAGGAACATTATACCACATGTGGTGGCAGTGTAAGTCAGTTAAAATTTTTTGGAAGAATATTCAAAAGAGCATTGAAAAAAGTATGCAAAAGAAAATATCTCTAACTCCAGAACTATTTCTACTAAATATAACTGAGACTGCAAATATGAATTTAAACCAGGAAGAAAATAGTAAACTTATCTACATGATAACTGCGGCTCGTATGGTCTATGCAAGGTATTGGAAAAGGAAAAGGACTAGTTATTAATGAATGGAAAATAAAAATCCATGAGTTGGCAATAATGGATAATCTTTCCATGTTAGCAGGTGGAAAAACATTACAACAATGCAAAGCAAAATGGAAGAATACAATAAGGACAGGATTATAAAAACGAATAAAGGACAGATAAAATAAAGACTGTACAAAATAAATTACTAATTTTCCCCCCTACTAAATAAATACCTGGAAGCAGAGAAGGTAATATATACATAATTGCTTTATATGTATCAGAGAGTAATATGGAAAAACAGATTGTAAATGTTATTGGATATATGTAACTATAAATTATATTCACAAAAATATATAGTAAAAGATCACAGTACTTGAAAGGCAACTTTTAATTAATTGCACCACTTTTTGATTTAGGTTGTTAGCATTGAAAGGAAATGATTTTTTTTATATGTCATTTGTATAATTTTTGTTTTGTGATGCCTTGTTTTAAGTTAAATAAAACCCAATAAAGATTAAAAAAAGAGATTCTTTGATCAATCAGCCGAGCTGCAACCTATTTACTGTGCTTGTAAATGGGTGAGAGGGATTGAAAGGTAAATTCTAAATTGGGATGACCGGTCGGCTCTCCAGATGCTTTGGCCTGCATATCCCATCAGTATGGACAATGGGAGTGGAAATACTGTTGGAATTTTAGGCTCAAAATCTGGCAGGCCAACTTGCAGACTGCCAGAAATAGTGCAAATTGAGTCCACTTTAACTGCCCTGACTCAGTGCTAAGGAATCATGGGAACTGTCATTTATTGTGGCACCAAAGCTCTCTGACAGAGAAGGCTCAAAGTCTCAGAAAAAAATACAATTGCCATGATTCCCTAGCACTGAGCCAGGGCAGTTAAAGTGGACTCAATTTGCACTATTCCTGGCAGTCTGTAAAGGCCCATAGAGAGTGTACTTGTGTAGTTGACTAGGCTATGTCATTATTGAGACGTAGTGTGGCATAATGGTTTGAGAGTTGGACTGCAACTCTGGAGACCGGGGTTTGATTCCCTGCTTAGCTATGAAACCCACTGGATGACCTTGGGCAAGTCACAGTCTCTCAGCCTCAGGGGAAGGCAATGGCAAATGTCCTCTAAGCAAATCCTGCCAAGAAACCCTATGATAGGTTCACCTTAGGGTCCCCATAAATCAAAAACAATTTGAAGGCACACAACAACAACAACAACAACAACAACAACATGTCATTATAGTATGAGAGAGCTTTATCCTTTGTGATGTGACTTGCTTTTGAAAGAACTACCTGTCCATAGAGTTCACTGTGCACAGCCAAGACAAAGGATACTGGTAGAAGAGACAAAGCATCATAATAACCAGGAATATTCATCCTAGGAGCTGTGAAGGTTCATGATAGGGTATATACACTCAAATATATGGGAACAATTGGTACCCACCCCATAATTCCATATCTGGCTATGCATGCAAGTTATGACACTGTATATATGTGATGATGTTGTAGGAAGCATGTGGCAGGAGACCATGCTGTAGGCTTGTACCGTGCCTTAGAAATGTTGTTTGGACCCTGTTAGAGTAAATGGTACCAAGCTAAATAAGCCAAATTTTAGTATGTGGGAGCTTCCTATATTGCACATCTTCCTTTCATCTACTTGCAGAGGTTCTACTATGAACAGGTCAATGGAAGAGGTTGCTTGTGAACAGTACCCAGTTTTAGTTGAGCCACCAATGCACATTTTGTGTGTTATTTTTTATTTTGTCTCCATTTCTCTTTCTGTTCGCATTTAAAAGATATCACAGGATATAAATGATATCAGGCAGAAGAGGTGGGTAGGGTGGGGTAAGAGTGGAGTTGAGTAAGAGTAGGGATTCACTCTTCTTAACAAAGCGCTGCAGGGACTGGGGATTCCACAGTGACCTTCAGATAGCCTTCATCTGGTTTGCCAATTAGGTATTTTCTAGAGGTGCTTATTGCAAAATAACAAACTCCACTCATTACCCCTGTGCCAGGGACCAAAAAATGAGAAGAGATTGCTATTTCCACCCACCCAGCAATTACAGGCATGCAACCAAACCTCTCCTTCCCCTTGCTGTTAATTACTTATTTTGACAGTCTTTATATGTCATGAAACAAAAGAAGAAGGAGGAGGGGGAAACCTCTGAACCTGAAAAGTTTATAAATTCTTTTCCTTCACGATCTTATGTCTCATTTTCCATATTTCCCTCCTTCTCCTCACCTCTTTACTTGTGGGAATTTGCTACTGCCTTAGCTCTGCAAATGAAGGAGAAAATTCACACACAGTCTGCCTTATCCTGTTGCTTAAGTTCTGTGCTGTTAGAATTAACTCATCACACCTCTCTGCTGCATTTCTCTTTGATAATGCAAGGGTCATACACTCCAGCATCTGTGTAGGCCATGATGACAAATTAAAACTAATGAGAAACCTCCAAAAATAAAGAGAAATGTGATAACAAGTCCACTAAACTTTAAATCCACTTTGCAACAATAAACTACATTTGTCTTCCCAGCTGCTGTGTTCCATTCCAGTGGCTCTTTCTCCAGTTTGTCAGCTGGAAGCTGGGTATGGGCAATTGTTTTGTTGAAACCTTTAAAATGGTGTAATAGAGAGTAACCTGACTGAATTCAGCTGTCCGTTTTGTCTGTCCCACTATGGTTTCTGGTAAGCAAGATTAAGCAAGATTTTGAAGTCTTCAACACCATGTATCCTGCCAAGCAGTTACCAATGTGTAAGCCAGATATACCGTATTTTTCGCCATATAAGACGCACTTTTTCTTCCCCAA